CAGATGGTCCCTTCAGGACCAGTGGTGAGAGTGGCCATACTGGGACGGTGGAGGAATGTGGGGTAGATAGGGGGAACCGATCACAAGGATCTACATATAACCCCCGCCTCCAGGGAATGGACAACAGAAAAGTGGGTGATGGGAGACGTTGGACAGTGTAAGACATGAAAAAATAATAATAATTTATAAATTATCAAGGGTTCATGAGGGAGGGAGGGTGGGGGAGGAAGGAGGGAAAATGAGATGCTGATACCAAAGGCTCAAGTAGAAAGAAAATGCTTTGAGAATGATGATGGCAACAAATGTACAAATGTGCTTGACACAATCGATGTGTGTATGGATTGTGTTAAGAGTTGTATGAGCCCTCAATAAAATAATTTAAAAAAGAAAAAAGAAAAAGAAAAATAGTTTTTCTCAAGTGAAAATACATGAAGTTACACCTATGTTGGCCACTAGGTGTCACCATCAGCCCAAAATAGTTTAGCTACAGTTCCTTGGAATGCCGGCAGCCTTAGTTTTAGCAGTGAATGAGACACAGTTGAGTTAGTATGTTTACAAGAATGTTCACAAGCTGTGAACTTAGCATGCTCTAGATTCAACTGGTGGAAGGGCTGTGTAAGCGTCAACATGAAGCCCTAGAATTCTAGCTTATGTAAGATTAAAAGAATTTTAAACAAACACTGCCGAAGTGCCCAATGTTTTCAACTACAAAACTCATTCACATTAACCAATACAAATATAATTTTAAAATACCTTCAGAAATATAACCTTAAATGAATATTTTAAAAAAATAGGTCTAGAAAATTGCATTGCAGGCCTGACGAGATTATTATTTGCTGTTGAGTCTATTTTGACTCCAGGGTGGAGAGAGAACCGCTTCAAAAAGGTTTTCGGAAGCCAACCATCAGATCTGTCTTCCAAGACACCTTCCTCTAAGCGGGTTTGAACCACCAACTTTGCAAAGGGTACTTACCTATTTGTGCCATCTAAGGACTCTGACTCCAGATTATGATTAGTAATAACAGGCCGCAGTACCTGTACTTGTTGCCCATCGACAAAACACACTGATCCAGGCACCCCTCACAGCATCTCTGTGACAGGGGTAACATCCCTCATCTTTTCATCATAAAGGATCACAAAGGCAAAGATTAAATAACCAATTCCAGGTCACACTGTTGCTTAGGTGGGTCTTTTACCACTTCTGAGACTTTTCAATTTTAAAGGTGGGAAACTTTTACATTTACTATCTTTTCACACAAAACCCCTAAACACAGATTAAGAATTCTGCCCCCTACCCCCAACCATTTCCTGGCTTTCTTAACAAGCTGAAAGCAGTAACATCAGTAACACTGATGTCTGCTGTTTATTGTCATACCATAGCCTTCTGGTAGATCTGGAGGGGTATGTAAATGTGTCCTGCTCATGTAATTTCTATGCCGCTGTGACCTGACTCTCCTCTCTGCCAGTCTGGGATCAGAAGACTGCCCACATGTTGCTCCATTTGTTCCACTAACGGGAGTGTTCTCGTCAACAAAGCAGCTGAGAGGTCTGCCAGGACTAGAATACTCCGATGCTGGCCTATTGAAAAAGTGACGAAGAAAATAAAATTACTCAACTCATATCCAGAGTAGAGTTCTCAAGACAATGTATACTGTGACAATAATCATTTACCATGTAAGAAAACTAAATGGTTAATATAAAACCTAATGATTTTAAAGGAAATCTGAGTAAAAGCAAAGTCTGAAGTCTCTAAACACCATGGAAACTCAGGGGATAAACATACCATCAACAGTGTATTTAAATGACAACATTTTATATAAAACCCATCTGTGTCGGTAGATGTGTGCAGTTTATGAAATCCTACATATTTCCTACTCTTTCCCCCCCATCACATTCCTTCCCGCACAGCTTCCTATACACCTTCAGCCCTAGGGAAGCTCTTCCTTCTACCTACCATGCACCTTTCCCTTATTGTGCCCAGGCCTGACCCTGATCTCTTAAGCTTAAATGTTGCCTTCCTGGCCTGCCGATCTAGTCAGCTTGTCACCTGATAGTACATCAGCTTAGTTCCTCAATACGGTACTTAATTTTCTTGTTGATTTACCTGTCTCCCATCAGGACAATGTTTATTGAAAGGAGAGCCTCTGCCCAGTTCCTTCTCCACTACACCTCCCACTGCTCCCCTGGGGGGCGGGGCGGGCGGAGGAGTACCTAGCATGCAAGGCAAACTCAGTAAACACTTTTTGAATGAATGAAGGCAAGAGAAGAGTTGATCACTTCAAGGAGCTTCCAGTCCAATGTACATCTTAGACCAAAAAAGCGCTAACATTTACAACAATTAACTATACATATGGAATATTAAAGTCCATTTTATCTGTTAAATGAGTTAAAAGGAAATGAATGGGCTTCACTAAACCACTGACACAAGAATACATTTGTCGGTATATTCAGCTAAATAAAAATGGGTCCTTCAACTTTGATAAAATCCTTTGCAATTTAATACAAAGAATGCAATTCTTGTATCATCTGTATTTTTTAATGGCAACACAAGTTAAGCTATTACCTGAGGTTCATAATAATAGAGAAAACTTCGTGATTCAGTGATTTAAGGAATTCATCCCAGCTAAATAAGAAGCATTTGGTGCTCCATGCATGGAGGCAGGTCTGCTGGGGCTAGAGGGGGAATTCAGCCACTTCATCTTTGTCTACTTAGTCATCTTCAATTACTTAAACAGCACTTCTTTCAAGGCTCCAAAATCGTATCTCGTATCTCATGTCTTATACATTGCAGCCCCATGAAAAAGGAGACTATTTTTCTGCCTTGCTCATTATTGTGGCTCAAATGCAGACCATACTTATCACCACCACCTTGAACACCTTGAACATCATCATCTTCCCGGACCCAACTACATCCTAAGGTTCATTCTTCAAGGTTTAGTTCAGAGATTCCCGTTTCAGAGAACTTTCCTCCCCAAGTCCTACTACTGATTTCCATGCCCACTTCAAATTAGGTGCCCCTCCCATACAATCCCAGAGCAGCTGGTTCTTATGTCAATCACAGACCTTACTGGACAGGATATAATACTGGACAGGACTGGGAGAATTGAAAATCCTATACATATTTTGTTACAGCTGTTCAATAATAAACTAAAACCAAACAACAAACATCCAAAGGTTCTTAAAAATACAGTGATTCTTCAATTAGTTCATTTAATTCATGCATTAAATATTTACAAAGCACCAGACTAAACCCTAGTGCTACAATAACAGGCTATCAGGATGACCTACTAACCAATTTTTAAATCTTTTTAAAAATAATAGGGCTTTCCCCACTATTTATTAATCTACAGCAGGATAAACCAAGAAAAAAGGTCCAGTAAAGCTGATAAACAGAAAGGGACTTCAAGAGGTCAAATAGCATGACCATGGAAAAATAATGGTATCTTCTTACCGTGTTGGGCGTTCCCACTGCGTAGTTCTTGTTATGTGGTTTAGATACTGGATTCTTCCTGAGGCAGTTCGCCTTTCTTCCCAACTTAAGTCAAAATATTGAGAGATAAGGCATTAGGAGTGTTAAGGATTGAACTGTATTACCCCAAAATATGTGTCAACTTGGCTAGGCCACGATGCTTAGTATTATGTCGTTTTCCTTCCTTTTGTGTCTGGTGCCATTATTCCCATGTTTGTGAGTCCTAACTTCAATAACGTTAATGACATAGGATTACAAGCAGTTATGCCAACTAGTGAGGCAATATGCAACTTTACAGAATTAAGTTTTGAGTCATGCCATTTACATGTACATTTCCCTATCAAACCTAAAAATATATACATTTTAGAAGAATGCAAAGTACTGTATGTAAAGTATACCTTACTATGGTTAGTTAAAATAATTTTAAGTTAAAAAATTTAAAAAGTACAAGAACTAGTGAAAAAAGAGAACTAGTAAGAGGGAGCAATGAGAAAGGGCATGTGATTTGGGATCGAGAATGAAGCTTTATTTCCAGCTCTGCAACTTATTGTGCTGGCTTTCTATGAGTTGTTTCATTCTGCACCGAGTCTCAGCGTTAGTTTTGTTTTTAATACGTAAGGAATGAGGAGAACAAAAGTATTAGCAGTAGTAATAATAAATTATTAATCACTTATTAATGGCAAGATAGTTTAAGTGCTTCACATGAAAGGCTTCATTTAAACTTCACAATTTAGAGGGTATGTGTGCCATTATCATCATCCCCTTTTACAAACGAATGCAAACCGAAGCTCACAGTTTAGTAAATTAAGTAAGGCCATAATGCTAGTAAGCAGTAAAATAAGGAATGAAGTGCAGGTGGGTCTAATTTCACATGCTAGAGCTGCCTTCCAAGATAGTATCAGAAGTAAATGATAAAAGGTGTCAACAGTATTTGTAACAGTATCTAATACATAATATCTAACCAACGTTACTCTGTTGCAGTTACTACTATCACAGATCTCTATCCCATCCCTTATACCCAGCAATGTTTCAGATTTAGCATTTGTAGGGATGTCCTGTTTGAGTATGCTAATCAAGCAGAAAAACTTTTCTGTTAGATACATAATATTTACTGAAGAGTTCTACTTGTCAAAAATTGTTATCTGTCTAGTCAATAGTAAAAAAAAAAATCAAATTTAACACCCTTAATCCACTGCTTAGTTTTAAAATGTGTTAGGATAAAAACCCATGTAAAAGGTAATGGTAATTCTAAAAGTGTTCAGACCAATTTCTAAAGTTTAAGATGTAAGAAACATCAAGTTATTCTTCATTAACCCAAGAATATTACAGCTATCTATTGTTCTACTGACTGCAGCTTACCCATCTGGCAAATCATTATCGAACAAACGACTGCAGTCCACAACTTGTCCTCCTGTGCCTATTCGGTCTCGGGACTGGAGACTTACTATTAAACAACAGAAACATTACTAAGCCTCAAAGAACTAGAAAGAATTACTGTCACCTAAAATATATAACTTCAGAAGACATCTTTTAAAATCATTCATTACAAACTATGCACTAAAAGGCTTATGTTAAATGAAAGCAAAATTTTACGTTCACAGTGATTAAAATAATTTTTAAAAATATATGCACATGAATATACTGAACAGATTTATATTTTAAGCTAGTGTTCTAGTATACTTTTCTTCATTAAAAAATTATACACGCAAAAAATAATAAAAATTAAAATTATACACATCTATTTACAAATATTTGGAAAGTCTTAATTCAGCAAAAACTCAACTTATTCTGGTCTAGATCACAAAATTATGGTGTGGTACAAATTATCTATTATTAATGGTCTTATCATGAACACAAAACCTACACAAAAACTTCAAATCAGAAACGAAATATCTCGTAATAAAACATTAGTCTTTCATGTAGCATGCACTAGTAAATCTATTTCTAACAAATGACAAAAGAAAGTCTGATATTCTTTTAAATGCAAATTTACACCTATAAAAACAATTTTGTTACTATGGCATTAGTTGGCAAATATTACATAACACACCACAACAAAGAACAATTCGTGTAAGTCTTGTATACTAAGGTTCATTTTTAGATTTTTTTTACCCTCTTCTCAATTTCAAAAGCACAGAAATCATCAATAATGCTGTCGTGTAACTACCTGTGTGTGTGGAATAACCACAGTGGACTGTGTCATGTCTGTTATTCTTACAACTTTATAACTGTGACTGACGCTCTTCAAGCATTTTCCATAACTAAAATCTCTCTGAAAAGCTCACATGAAATAATCTTATTCTTACTCTGCTCTATCATGACATGATGGGCTTGCAATTTGCAGTTGCCTTTCTTCTTGACACATCAAACAAACGCAGGAACCTCAGTGTACTACATGTGCTATGTATCTTGATCTAATTTCAATCCATCACTCTTTATCTACCCTTCTTTTGAACAGAAATCTCAGGAAGTTTTATATTTAAAAAAGTCTTATATGTTATTTTCAAGATTAACCCAGTATAAGCCTTATGAGTAAGGTAACAATTTCTCCTTTTTCCCAATTAGTGCTATACCTGTATCACCACTGCTTTAAAAAAAATTAATATAATGAATTTTAAACTGTTAAGCATTAAACATTAAACAAAGAGTTCTGAGAATGATGAGGGCAACGAACGTATAAGTGTGCTTTACACAATTGAGGTATGTATGCATTGTGATAAAAGTTGTATGAGCCCCAATAAAATGATTTTAAAAAACCCAAAGAGTTCAAGAAAATACTCTTGTTAATTATGTTTTGAAGACTTTAATGCCATCTGTTTCAGTACTTTTGAAAGTCTTTAATATTTTGAAAGTCTGTCTTGGTATTTGAATATTTTGAAAGAATTTCTTCTCAGAGAATCAAAAGTTCTTCAGAACACTAGGAGTTTCTATTTTCTAAAACACATTATGTGTGTGTGTGTGTGTGTGTGTGTGTGTGTGTGTGTGTGTGTGTGTGTGTGTGTGTGTGTGTTTAAAAATTAAGCTAGCTTGGACCAACTGTTTGCAACATTTACATAATTCATTTAAATCAAGTCAATACAACGAAGCTAGTGTAACATAATATACTTTGATTCAAGAGGTTATTTAGATTGTAGGTCAATTTAAATGAAGCCAAAATTTATGTAACTTTAAATTCCACACTTACCTACTATCTGGCCTCTAACTGTATCATTATCATTTGGCCCAAGTTTGCATAGATCCAACCTCTGATCTATTTTAAATCAACAAGAGGGGGAGGGGGGAAAGGCAATTAAAAAATGATTCTATAGATTGGTCATAAATTTCCACAGACCTCTGGAAATCAAGGCCATCCCTTATAAAGTTAATCATGTAGTATTTTAGTAACAGATAAAAAGCATAAATTTCTCAACATAAGTTTTGATAAATTCCGATTTCAAAAACTGTACCTGTTTATCATGTCAACATGTGGTTACTTAGTTACGTTCTCTCCAAATCTTTCAGACCTCTTCAGTTTGAGTCATGGTTTTGCCACCTAGTTGTTGATCTTAAGCAAATGATCCTGGAGCTTTAATTTTCTTGTCTAATTGTAATACCTAATCTCATACAGTTGCTTTCAGAAATAAATCAGATAATTAATTACAACTCTAAGCACAGTGTTTAGCACAATGTGTTCAAGAATTGCTGTCATCATTATTGTTGTGGTTTATCTTATCATTTCAAATTACCTAAGTACAAAGAGTATTAGTGAGAATTATAAACTGTAAAATGTACTACTAACGCTTTTGCAGGCATTTGTATGTACTGTAGCATTCTTGTCCACTAATAATTCCTTTTGAACTCACTCCAATCACCTACACTCACTTACTTCATCTCACAATACCATGAAAACCAAAGATGGGTGCTAACAAACATTAAAAAAGGCATTTACATAAGGAAGCTCCAGAAATTTTTTTGGGGGGGGTATGGACTTTTTCCATGAAATTTTTGAAGCCCCCTCATATGTTGACACTTTACTTTCACACTTTTGGAATGTTGTTGTTGTTGTTAGATGCCATTGAGTCAGTGGTTCTAACTCACAGTGACCTTATGTACAACAGAATAAAACTCTGCCCAGTCCTGCACCACCCCCGCAGTTGTTCTTATGTTTGAGCCCATTGTTGCAGCTACTACATCAATCCAGCTCATTGAGGGCCTTCCTCTTTTTTGCTGTCTCTCCACTTTACCAAGCATGATGTCCTTTTCCAGGGCCTGGTCTTTCCTGATAACATGTCCAAAGTAGGTAAGACAAAGTCTCACCACCCTTGCCTCTTAGAAACAGTCTCGCTGTACTTCTTCCAAGGCAGAAATGATTGTTCTTTTGGCAGTTCATGTATTTTCAATATTCTTCACCAACACCGTGGTTCAAAATCATTGATTCTTCTTCAGTCTTTCTTATTCAATGTCCAACTTTCATATACATGAGGTTAATGAAAATACCACAGCGTTCCTTACTCCTCAAAGCAACATCCTTGTTTATCAATACTCTAAAGAGGTCTTGTGCAGCAAATTTACCTAGTGCAATGAAAAAGGTCGTCCAGATAGAAGTTATTTAATACTTGTAAATTTCACAAGAAGCTAAACTCTAGCTTCACAAATTTAAATTATTTTTTTAAGTCCACAAATTTAGACCAACAGCATTTATCACCAAAAAATGTTAACAATGTTTAAAATATACATAAAACCCAAAACCAAACCCATTACCATTGAGTCAATTCTAACTCACATCGAATCTATAAAAGATTTCCAAGACTAAATCTTAAGGGAATGGACAGTCTCATCTCGGCTGGTAAACTGCCAAGCTTGTGGTCAGAAACCTAATGCCCAACCCACAGTGCCACCAAATGTCACAAGGGCTCCTTAAACTATACATAGGAACATCAATTTTTTAGATTCACCCACCCCAGTTTTCTTTGGTTTTGTTTTTAATTTACAAAACAGTAGTATCTTCCCAGGAGCCCTGGTGGTGTAGTGGGTTATGCATTGGGCTGCTAACCTCAAAGTCAGCAGTTCTATACCACCAGCAGCTCAGAAGGAAAAGACAAGGCTTTCTACTCCCATAAAGAGGTACAATCTCAGGGCTGCTCTACACTCTCTGTCCTACAGGGTCATGATAAGTCAGAATCGACTTGATGGCAGTGAGTTTGGAGGTTTTTTGGAATGTCTACTCACAGCCAGTGTCTTTGAGGCGGTTGATGGCATTGGAAAGAAGACGAACACACCCAAGAAAGCCAGCACCTTGTTTTTTATGGATCTTCTTGTGATTCCAGACACTGATCGTAACGGAGTCAGACTTTCCAATGTACCTGAAGAACAAATGGCTATGTGAGCAACCTGGCACTTAAAACAATTGTTGTACAAGTTTCTTTTCATTTCTTTAATATTTTTTCTTTTCTTTAATATTCTAAAGTCACAAATATGGTTCAGTGTTTGACTATGTGGTGTAAAATATACTCCCAGAATGTAAAGAATTCTGTCCATTCATCTTGTTCTTAAACTAACCCAAAGACCTGATGAAGAAAAAAATCTTGAAAATAAAATCCAAAAAGAATTTTCAATATATCCTCTACCACTCTCGGGCTCGGTATTGAGTTTTGTTAGCAGGGGTGGGGCTGGAGGTGGGGGTTGGGGTTGGGGAGCTGTTTTAGCTCAACTAGAATGATGACTTCTTTTCAGGGACAAAGATTCTAGGACATGGGGTTTCTCCTGTTCTAAATACGTGTCAGTGGCATTACCTACTACCTCAGGGAAGAAGACACTGATCGGTTCTAAAGGGCAATATCAAGGCTGATAGACCAAAAATCTGACCTACCTGTTATGTTTTAAAATGCTGGAGAGCAAAAGCTGACTGTAACGCTTTTCCTGCTTCTCTCCTGTGTGCAGGCCTTGGGTGAGCAGGACTCGTGCAGCTTGCCCTTCACTGCCTGCAGACAAGCAGAGCAGGGAAAAGCGTTACTGGACTTGTCTGTACATATACCTGCACGCAAGGGGCAGCGCTACCCTAGCCAATTGTTAACAGGGCGTCCAACCCATGCAAAAATATAGTAAAATCACGGAATTTTATCAGTAAAGCCCTAATTTTATTTTAGACTCTGAGGTCAAATTTTTGGTCCAGCAACCTTGACCGTAAAGTGTCTTTCAGTACAGCAAGAATTAGTATCAAAAAATGCAGCTCATAGATAAAGCATAAGCTACCTAAGGGAGGAGAAAACTTCAAAGTGAGGGGCTGAAAAGCCACCCTAGCACCTAAAGCACGCCCTGCCTGTGTGTGAACGCAAGGACCTTGACTGAAGTGCCATGCAGCAGACTCACCTCAAGTTTCGAACAGGTCAACAGACCTAACCTGGCCAACAGACCTAGCTGGCTCCAAACAGACCTAACCAGGCCAACAGACCTAACCTGGCCAACAGACCTAACCAGGCCAATTGACCTAACCTGGCAAACAGACCTAGCCTGGCTCCAAACAGCTCATGACAAAATGAAATTAAAGATGGTGGGATTTCCAACAAACTTTCTATAAATCCTAGAATTAGAATAAAATATTAAACAGCATAAGGATCCCAAAGCAAACATTATTGTTTTATAATTACATTAAACCAGTTTTCCAACTGGTAAGCCTGTTGTGCTCAATTATTGCTTCTCTCAGGCATCAAAGTAGCCCACTTCCAGATTAAACAACTTCTCAGAAAGGTGCTGTAATATCATTCCTTATGTGTATCACAAAGTAAAATGAAACTAAACAAACGCAATCATTGTGGCCCCTCTGAAAGATTCTAATGCTAAATTACTAATATTATTAATTATGCTATATTAGCTTAATAATATACATGTCAGAAGCATTTTATTCAGTCTTCCTGGGCCAGGAGTTAATCAGAAATGCTCTGATTTCTTCTATCTATAAAAGTTCTACTGTGAGTTGCTATGAGTCAGAACCAACTCCATGTAACCTCATGTAATATAACACATTCTTTTTTGTTTAAAAGACAAAGCAATTTGTTTAATGATTGAAAGTTAAACTAGATTTCATTAACTTTTTTAGTTGACTAGGTGTTTTACAGACAATGTTGCAAGGTATTCTGTTATGAGGGACACTGAGGTGGAGAAGTCACCACACAGACCAAAATATGACATAAATAGTCCGTTGAGAGTTTTGCTAAAATTAAAGTACTAGACATATGTTAGCAGGCTTAGTCATGCCAAAGGCAAGGTTTTTGCAAAATGATCCAAAGTGTTTCTCCATCATTATTCCTCTAGTGAAGTTTCCCTGGCAACAAGGAAGCCAATTACTATCGGCTTTTTAAAAAAGCCCAACAAGTACATGAAAAGATGCATAACAATATTAGTCATCAGGGAATGCAAATCAAAACCCCAATGAAATATAATTTCCCACCCACTAGGATGGCTATTAAAAAAGTAATTTAAATAAAGGTGGAAAATAATAAGAGCTGGAAAGCTCTTTGGAATTGAAACCCTCACATATTATAGGTAGGAATCAAAATAGTGGAAATGAGTTTGATGGGTCTGCAAAAAGTTAAACAGAAGTTACCATACGCCTTAGCAATTCTACTCCTAGGCGCACAAACAAGGACAGGTATCCACATGTTCTCAACAGCACTACTCTCCACAAATGCCCATCAATGAATAGACACCCCGTAGTACATAGTTATAAGAATGCTATTCAGCCATAAAAAAGAATAACATGCCACAAAATAGGAACCCCACAAACATTATGTTAAGTGAAAGAAGCCAGATTCAAAAGGTCACAGTTATCATTCCATTTATACGAAACATTTAGAAGAGGTAAAGGCATAGCTACTGAAAGTAAACAGGTGGTTGCCAAGTGGTGGGGCAAAGGGGTTTGGGGAACAACTGCTAAGATCACCATTTCCTCTGGGTGATAAACATGTTTCATACTAGTCAGGGGTGGTGGCTGCACAGCACTGTGAATGCCATGAATACCAGTAAATTACTCCTTGCTTTATAGCTTCTATCTTAACATGAATTTCCTCATTAAGGTAGTAAATGAGAGGCTCACATTATGGGCATCATATTTTAAGAAGAGCCACTCAAGTCCAGCTCAGCAAAATCACACAACTGGAAACCACCTGCACTCACAAAGAGCTCATGTTCCCAAAATAGCTTTAAATCAATGGTTTGGAAGTCCTGCATTTACCTCCCCATAGAAACAATGTTTTATAAAATGATAGGTCTGATGGGTAACATCCTAACAACATTACAGAATCACAGCTATGTGAAAGAAACATTTCCACAAGAAAATGTGTACCAGAAGCTTACTCTGCTCTGAAACTCTTCCAACGGAAGTGAAAGCACCTCCACGCGGAGTCCCTCCTGTTGGAACACCAGAAAGGCAGAACTACCGTAGTCACACCTGCTACTGGCGATGACAGCAACATATGCACAAATGTGCTTAACACAACGGATGGATGCATGGATTGTGATTAAGAGCTGTAAAAGCCTCCAATAAAATGATTTTTTTTAAATAAATAAAATAAAAAACTAGTACTTTGGTTTCACATGTTTCACCCAGCGATTTCAAAACAAAAATTTCATCCCTAGTAGTTCAGTTCCACAGTCAAACTTCAAAGATCTATAGGATTTGGGATTTGTTGGTTTAAAGAAATTGGACAGCTTACTAAAGTAGGAAAAGCTAGCCAAGAAGACAGTAGCCAGCCTACTCTATTCTTTCTTCACCCAACTTAACCCAAACCCACTGCCACGGAGTCCATGCTGACTCACAGAGACCACAGATCTTTACAGAAGCAGACAGTTCATCCTTCTCCCTTGGAGGGAACCCCCAACCTTGAAGTTAATAATCCAGTGCTTAATCCACAGAGCCAAAGACCCTATTAACACATAAAGATATAAATGGTAAGAATGGAGATTTCTGAAAAATACTAAACACAAACATAAAGAGCAATGTTTCCAGTGTATTTTCTTTTAAAGTTGACTTGGGAAAGGAGCCCAGAATGTTAACCTTTCTCTCTTCCATCCAACCGTCTTGGGCAGAGTGAGAGATGCAATTGGTCCCAGGAGCTTCTCAGTCAGCAGTGATGGGAAAGGAAAGGCTCAGTACAATTCTCACATCTGGCTTAGGGTTTTCTTCAGAGAGTAACACCCTGAAACAATTCCCGAGCCACACAGAGGTCCAACTGCACCATTTTGATACAAAATCCACCTCTTCCCTCCCACATCCCAAATTTAAGAATAACATCTTCCTTTCTGCTCTAATTAAAACTCCCACTTCTTTAGTGCGATTAATATACATAAACAGGACTAAAATAATCTGACTAAACTAATATAAATGTTTAATTGTCCCAAAGGTATGTGAAATGAGGATATGGCCAAATGATTATGACTGGGATCTAAATGACATACAAATGGACAAAATGTAGCATTTCTGAAAACGTAATACAAACAAAAAATTCAACAACTATTTACTGCATACCAACTATGTTATATGCCATGCCCCTGAGGAAAATTCTAAGGCATGAAAACCTTCCTCTAAACATGAATAGTTTGTGATCTTATCATATCACAAGACAAAAATGTTTTGGTTTTGGTTTTTTCATTATGTACAAATATCAGAGCTTTATTAGATCTGAAAATGGCATTGGAATGTGACAAGCATGTACTGTTTAATTATTAAAGTTCTAACTTAAATCACTATGTTTTAATAAAGTTTTTAAAAGTTTTCTTTCCTGTTAAAACTTTCGTTCATCTTAAATTGAAGTAATTTTACTTCAACACCCTAGACATTCACTTATTTTCATTAAAAGGAGTTTATTTGGAGTTTAAATAAACAACTTTAAAAATCAGGAAATACTAGCAAACTTTAAAAGTTGCTCCATGGTATAGCCTATTCCCTTCTTTTTTTCTCCCACTTAAGACACAAAATTATTGTTGTTTTCGGCAGGTTCATTTTCTTGCTGTTCTTGTAAAACGTCAGGTTCAAAAAGAAAAAAACAACTTCAGATTCCCCCATGCTCTGATCACCAAATAAGAAGGCTGACACAAACACTCAACATTTTGATCCCTTCCCCAAGCGTACATGCCACTGCCATAGAGTGTTGTGCCCTAAATCAGAGATTACTGTTCCATAGAAGGTGGATTAACGACACAGTAAACACTTTCACCTTTTTGAACCTCAGTATGGTTTTCTGAAGATAAGTACAAAATCAACTACACCCCTCCACCCGAGTTAAACCCACTGCCTTCAGCCTTCAAGTTGCTTAAGAGTCATATTGATGCTTTAAGGCAGAATAAACTACTCCATAAGATATAAAAGGCTCTACATCTCTACAGAAGCAGAATGCCACATCTTTTTCCTGTAGAGCAGCTGTTGGGTTTGAACCTCTGACCATGTGGTTAGCAGCCATATGCTTAAACCATACCAGGGTTCCTTTAAAATCAATTAAGTCTTATAAATAATTCAGAAAGCCCTAACTATAGATGGTTCTTAAATTTCAAATGTTTAATTATGTTATTTGTTAACTCTGAATTAGCATAAAACTTCACTTTCACCCTCACAGCCAGCAAGTCTATCCAGATTCTCAAGGGCCTACAAGACTGAGTGGAAGTGGAACTGCCCTCTGGGGTGTGCTTACAAGACTGTAACTCTATGGAAGCAGAAAGCCTCCTCTTTCTCCCATGAGTAGGCTGCTGACCTTGTGTTTAGCAGCCCAACTTGTAACCCACTACTCCACCTGGGATAGTAGTTTATAATTTATGGGTTAGTTTGAGGATCTGTTTTGTTTATTACAGTATCTAGGTCTCTGGATAAACTAAATCAGACTGAATTGAAAGGAAAAAACTTAAATTTTTTTACTAAACCCATAAGTGTCTTTATGCCATCTTTCCATACTGCCATAATGTGCATGAATAGTGCTGAGAAAACGAATATGCACCAAGTTCTTATTGAGCTATACTCCAAAATCATTATCTAGTTTCTAACTGTGATGATGAAGCACGGGTACACTGGTGAATTTGAAATCATTTATGATCACAGGGCCAAGAAAATTCTCATGAACTTCACAAGCAGGTTAAACAAGTATGGAGCAGCTACCCCTAGATTTGATGTACATCTCAAAGGTCTAGAAAAGTGGCAGAATAATCTGCTCCCATCACACCAGCTTGGTTCCACTGTGCTGACAACATCAGCTGCCATCATGGACCATGAGGAAGCAAAGCAAAAACACAGGAAGAAAAATCCTGGGCTTCTTTTTCTATGTATGCAATTAGCTTAATTAACTATATATAGCAGCTATCCACAGCTATATTAATCAAATCAAATAATACAAGTTTATGATCTAAAATATTTATTTAAATCATTTAACATGAGTATATTTTTAGATATCATACTCATCTAAACACTTCACGTTATCTCGCTTAATCCTCACAATGCTCCAAAGTAAGAATTATCATTATTATTATTATTATTGGAAACTGATGTAAAGGGTTAGATTATAAGCTAAAAATTATGTATTAAGTGATACAATGGGGAAGCCAAGCAATTCCACTTCTCCCAACTGCCTTTCTCCAAAAAAAACACCAAACTCACTGCCATTGAATCAATGGGACTCATAACAACTGTGAGTTTCTGAGACCCTGTTAATAGAAGTAGAAAGCCCCATCTTTCTCTTAAGGAGTGCCTGATAATTTTGGACTGCTGATCTTGCACTTTGCAGCCCAAGGTGTAACCAACCACACCACCAGTGTGCCCCACCCTCAACTACCTTTCTAGTAACTATTTACTCATTAAGCTAACTCAGAGTTATAAAGCCACAGCACTGAAGGAGCATATAGCAAAGAATTAGTAGTTGTTTTCAGGGATCTTAATGTCGAAGGGGAAACATGCCATTTATTCACATGTGGTTTAGAAGGTCAAATTCCAATAGATGGCCAGGGTCAAGGCTAAGCTACAAATTCCAGAGTAGTTCTAGAGCTAATGGTCTAAAAATGAGTCAATGATACGTCAAGGTTCTGATGGGAGAGCTAGTTTTACTGGAGGTAAAATCAAGTGGAATATCCTAAAGAAAAATTAAGGTTGATGAAGACTGAAGCAGAATGACAATGATGCTCAAGAAGCTAATGAGGAAGTCAGTGGTATGAGGGTGACTGGCAGGTTTACATTGTTAGAGATGTAGTCAAGATGGTAAAAACTGGGCAGCAGATAAATGCATGGTAACTGACGTAAGAAAAGCCAATATGAAATAATTAGAATAAACTAATGAATATAAACCAAAGTAGGTTAGTGGTTACCAGGGGCAGGGGTGGGAGGAAGGAAGTACAAAGTTAGTTACGGAGTACACCAAAAACCACCACTCACTGTCATCGAGTCAACATCAACTTATCTCAATAGAGAAACAGGGAAGAACTGGCCCCTGTGAGTCTTTGCGACTGTAACTCCTTACAGGAATAGAAAGCCTCATCTTTCTCCTGTAGAGGGGCTGGTGGTTACAAACCGCTGACCTTGCACTCAGCAGCCCAAAAGGGTAAATAAATAGTGATTTTAAAAAAAAAGACACAGATAGTAATGGCTTCCCATCATGATGAATACAATTAGCATCACCAAATTTTACACTTAAAAATGGATGAAAAGGATGTTTATATATTTTACCACACACACAAAAAAAGCTAGAAAATAAACAGAATATCTAGAAGAAAACTACCAAAATAAATAGCCAAAGTTAGAAAAGTACTTATTCTGAGAATGGGAATCAGAAATGAGAATAAGCAGGGACTACTATTTTTTCATTAAAATCTTGTACTACCACATTTGCCTTTTTTTCTTTTTAAAGAATCATTGTGTTATTATTGATTCCAGCCCACAGTCACTCAAAGGACAGAGTTACTCTGCCTCATAGATTTCCTAGGCTGAAATCCTTATGGGAACAGATCAATAGGTCTTTCCTCCCTTGGAGCGATTGGTGGGGTCAAACAGCTGACCTTTTGCAGTTAGCAGCCAAGACCGGTGCTTCTTAGTACATACGCTATGATGATTAAAATGAAAATAATACGAAGCCATTCACATATGGAGCTTCAAAGAGTTCGTGGGGAAATGGAATTAAAAAGAAAATGGAATTTTTCTATGGATTTTTTTAACCCTTCTCATAAAAACAAAAAGCACAATGGATGTATGTATGGACTGTGATAAGAATTGTACCAGCCCCCAATAAAATGATTTAAAAAAAGAAGAAACAAAAAGGCCTATGAGTACACCTTAATTCTGATTTTTTGTTTTATACCTTTATTTAACTGAAAAAAGGTATTGAGTTTGCTCTACCTTGTAAGGCAATTTCATTTCGTTCTTCATAAGCTCATTAAAGCCACTTCATCTTCCAAAGTCAGTCACCTAGAATCCACTGTACCTTCCCCACTGGGTTTTCTACCTCTTCCATGGAGACCAAATTATATCACACAACAAATGAGATCATTTTCCACATTTTATCAAAAAAATCAATTGGTTTCATTTTAAAATAACCATTTCAACCTACAGGTCATAATGCTGATTCCACTTTGGATCGAGGGTATTCTTCACAGTATCTGTAGAATGGCACTGCCCAGAGCCATCAACCACCACCTTAGCAAATGGATCAGGAAGTCCTGTGGAAAGTGGGGAGATTACTGTAAATATCATCATTTGCTATAAACCAAAAGAAAACTCCATTCTTTAATCCACTTTTATAATGTTTAAAATATGTAATTCTTCGTAAAAGGTTAGCACATGACAAATGAAAGTGGATTCCTCTAGAGCAGTGGGTTCTCAACCTTCCTAATGCCGTGACCTTTTAATACAGTTCATGTTGTGGTGACCCCTCAACCATCACATTATTTTTTTTGGTACTTCATCACTGTCATTTTGCTACTTCTATGATTCGGGTGACCCCTGTGAAAAGGTCGTTCGACCTCGAAAGGAGTCGTGACCCACAGGTTGAGAACTCTGCTGCAGAGAAAATGCTTTACCTTCTTTTTTTAAAATTCTACTATCTAAGTAAACATACACATGTATGTCTGTGAGTGAAAATAATCACATATTTAAATTTCTCCTTGGATGCTATTTAACTATTAAAGAGTGAAGGACTAAGAAAAACAATTTTTTACACACAAAGCTTCTGTGTGCTCTCCAGATCTTTACTTAAGTCTGAATCACACCTTTCATTGTTTCTCCTTTAATAAATAATTCAACAAACCAAAATACAAGCTGTAGACCTAGGTTTTAATTTAGCTCTATTATATTATTCTACATCAGTCTAATGAGAGCCAAGTCGCTCGGCGGTGGTAAAAATCAAATGTTCTGAGGTCCATGAGCACTCTGGTGGCTAATGCAAAGTGGGCAACATATTTTCTTTTTCAAAATGTCTCAATCCGACAATCATTTCTGAGCCATATTCAGAAGCCAAAGGTCAAGAACGCCCCTACTTCACAGCTGTACTTGATGGGTTCCAAATAAACATGAAACAAATGTTTTAGTTAAAAAAGTCAAAATTAATATCCCCAAGTGAATTACCGTATATACTCAAGTATAAGCTGAGTTTTTTTCAGCACATTTTGAAAAATCATTTTATTGGGGGGCTCATACAAATCTTATCACAATCCATACATACATCAATTGTATATAGAACATTTGTACATTCGTTACCCTCACCATTCTCAAAACACCTGCTCTCCACGTAAACCCCTGGCATCAGCTCCTCATTTTTCCCCCTCCCTCCCCGCTCCCCCTTCCCTCATGAACCCTTGATAATTTATAAATTATTATTTTGTCATATCCTACACTGTGATGTCTCCCTTCACCCACCCTTCTGATGTCCGTCCCCTAGGGAGGAGGTTATATGTAGATCTCTAATCCGTTCCCCATCTCTACCCTACCCTCCCTTCACCCTCCCAGTGTCGCCACTCTCACCACTGGTCCTGAAGAGAGCATCCGTCCTGGATTCCCTGTGTTTCCAGTTCCTATCTGTACCAGTGTACATCCTCCGGTCCAGCCAGATTTGTAAGGTAGAATTGGGATCATGTTAGGGGTGGGGAGGAAGCATTTAGGAACTAGAAGAAAGTTGTATGCTTCATCGTTGCTACACTGCACCCTGACTGGCTTGTCTCCTCCCCGTGACCCTTCTGCAAGGGGATGCCCAGATGCCTACTGATGGGCTTTGGGTTCCCACTCCGCACTCCCCCTCATTCACAATGATATGATTTTTTGCTCTTTGACGCCTGATACTCATCCCTTCGACACCTCATGATCACACAGCCCAGTGTGCTTCTTCCATGTGGGTTTTGTTGCTTCTGAGCTAGATGGCCACTTGTTTACCTTCAAGCCTTTAAGACCCCAGATGCTATATCTTTTGATAGCTGGGCTCCATCAGCGTTCTTCACCACATTTGCTTATACACCCATTTGTCTTCAGCGATCTTATGGGGAGGTGAGCACACAATATGACTTTTTGTTCTTTGATGCCTGATAACTGATCCCTTCGGCACCTCGTGATCACACAAGCTGGTGTGCTTCTTCCATGTGGACTTTGTTGCTTCTTTTCCAGCACATTTTTAATGCAGTTTTTGTGGTAAAATTAGGTGCCTCGGCAGATATTTGAGTCAGCTTATACTCAGGTATATACGGTACTTTAATTTTTGCAGAGGAGACAAAATTCAAACAACCTGGCTAGGTCCCGAATGACTTCAATTTCTCCCCTGTGCAGCACCTTCATCTAGCATTTTAAACATAAATATTGTATTTAAATGTTGAATAATGAAAGAGGGAACAAATGTTACTAGGGAAAACATTCTAAAAAATCCAGCAGTTAAGGAAGGGATAGCCAATATATGATAATACAATCAATAGCAGACTCTAGATCAATATTTCCCAAAGTGTGTACCTCAGGAGCCACTGGATGGGAGGAGAGGAACAAAAGCAGATAGATAAGCTTCCTGGATTATAGAATTTAGTACAAAACCTTCTCATTCTCAGGGGTGAAAAGATCATTTTTCCCCCTGAGAATGGGGCAGGAAACCAAATAAATTTAGGAACCTATGGCCTACACCAATGAAAGAGGGAACGTCAACAAATGTACAAATGTGCCTGACACAATGGATGTATGTATGGGCTGTGATAAGAGTTGTACGAGCCCCCAATAAAATGATTTAAAAAAAGAGGGAAAAGATTTCCTTTCCTCACCCCCGTTATTTTTACCTGCAATTAAAAATGGAATATAAAGATTTCATAAGTAATAATAGCAATGAGTTTTCTGAGGTTTAAAAGAACTAAAGTTAAGATTTGATTCCAGTAGATTTCCTAGGAGAACATAGACAAGAATGCCTGGTTATCTTACTGGAGAAGTGGAGAAGCTGCATCTGGGAGCTCTCGTGGAAGGTAAAGAATTTGGGAAGGAAGATTGGGAAACAAAAATGAAAATTTCCTCTTAAACACCTGCAGTAAAGCTAGAAGAGCTGTCTTGGAAAGAATAGTCAGCCCCTGCAAGAGTGTTTCCTTCACTCCCTTCCTTTTTTCTTCATCACCTCCATGGACAGCAACCCTAACTGACCTTTTCCAATCCGCTTGGATACAGCTTAGCTTAGATCAGCGGTTCTCAACCTGTGGGTCGCAACCCTTTGGGGGAATCGAACGACTCTTTCATAGGGGTCGCCAGATTCATAGCAGTACCAAAATTACAGCAATGAAGTAGCAACGACAATAATTTTATGGTTGAGGGGTCACCACAACACGAGGAACTGTATTAAAGGGCTGCGGCATTAGGAAGGTTGAGAACCACTGTTAGATCAACCCTGAGGAAGGTAAGAGCAGACCTTGCTTATTAGGGCGAGAGGTAGCTAGTTGTAGTCCAGCCGCCATCTGTAACAGAGAAAGTTCTGTAGCCACTGGTCTCTCTGAGCATTATGTGTAAGGCTGTTCCATCTTCTTAATTATGTGCTAAATTATCCTAATTAATTGCTTTCCCATATAAATAAAAATACCATCAAATTTTATCATTGCATACAATTGAGAAAGACCGGAAGAAAACAAATTTCACATGGAATGAACTGTATGATTTGTAACTATACCACGGGCTTATTCTTTCTTTTAATCAGGTCTCCAAAACAATCAAATGTCAAATGACATTGGTTAGGAAACATAGCCAGTTCTTTGCTGGCTGGTAAAACTTGGACTTTTAAATCTGATAATTCTCTCCTATTTCTAATTTCAAATACTTTACATGTAAGATTATTGATGAGTTTTTTGCTAAAAAGTCTATCATTTTTATACAATAAATTCACAATATTATAAAGTAGGATATTGCAGGGTAAATATTTTAAACACACGAGGGTTACTTCTCAATCTTCTCTCACAAAACTTAATCCTAATAAAAGCCACACAACATTTGCCACAGGTTGGCACACAGGCTGCAAATATGAGGACCAAATGTCTGCTTTGGAGGCTGAAACATAAGAGCATCTCTGATCAAGTGCAGCAGATTTCTTTCCTATCCTCTGGAAATTCCAAGCAGGGTCAGTGACTTCTTTACTTTCCAAGCAGTTCTAAATGCGTGACAACAAAATTTCCTAGCAAATGTTTTTTTTTTTAAAGTACTTACAAATAAGCTTTTTCTAGAACTCTAACAATATTTATGCAACATATATATTACATAGACACACACCTGCATACACACATATATTATACATACATTACACAATAAATAAAGGCTTCAACAGTTCTGGGAAAAATGGAGTTAAAAGATAATGATTTTTCTCATGAACTTTCTGAAGTCCCCTTGTATGTTAGGAGTAGATAAAAGTAAAGGAGGAGGTACCACTAAAAAGCACAAAATCCTCTTCAAGGTTAATACACCAAATGATTGTAAACCAATGCATTCCTAAAGCAATGCTGAAAATATTTTGACCAAAGATATCTCTAGTCAGACAATTTTGAAAGGTCTATCAAAATTGTGTATATGTGTGTATGCATTATATAAAGAACATACAAGATTTATTAACATTAATTTACTTACGGAAAAAATCCTTTTTCACCAAGTTTTTTGCACAGAGTACTGTAAAGAAAACAAAAAAATACATAGGAAAAATTAAACTAGAGTGTTAAGACACCATTGGTAAAGTTAAAAGTTTCATTTTAAAACAGCAGTGCATAATTAAACACTAAGTGCAGCAAGCTATAGAACATGCTCACAAACTTTCTTGAAGGACCAACAAACAAGAGACTGCTGAGCTAGTGGATGAACCTTTTAGCAATGATCACCAGTAACAGCTGAGGACACAAAAGTTGACAAATTTTATACTCTACAAAGAACCCAATTCTCATCTTCTATTAGTAGCTATTCTCAGAGTAGCTTAATGGTAATGAAAAATAGTTTTATGCAGAAAATTTACAAGCTCAGGTTGTTATATGTCCATTTTAAGGATGAAATACTTTTATATTAAAGAGGAGCCTAAATAAGATGACGTTAAACTTTCCAGATATAGAGGAGATATTCTTAAAACTAAGCTTCTGTTATTTAATCACCAGCTAAATTTCACTGACACCTTGCAGGAGAGATAAACTCTCTCTCCTCTGCCATCGAGTTAATTC